AAAGCGTGAACCTCAGACAAGGTCAACATCTGGCTAATATTCGACACGTACTTCACAAAGATCTGCTCTTTGTTTTGTTGACAAACATCTGATCAGCTGCTTGACCATGGAGACAGAAAAATGGTGCATTCACTCTCAGCGAACCCTGTATTAGCACCAATATTAATTAGTTAATGCCAGTAGCTACTCAATAATGTAGGAATTAGCCAGCTCTGCACTTAAAAGCTAACCATCCGCATGTCTTTAAATATAGCTGAAAACTACAGAAGATGATTGGGAGGTTCTTTTCTTCTGCACACTGGTTGGATTTTCGGTAGCAATATTAAGCGCTGAGTAAACACATTGTGTGTTTCTCTGACAAGATTCCACACCATCTACAAATGCTTTAGATATTATTTCACATGAATTATGCTTTCCACACTAATAGCACAGAATCAGCTGGAGAGTTCACTTCCTCAGCGTGTTTGGGAACAGACATTCTCAACATTTGGGAGCCAGGGCAGCTGCACCAGAATCATCAGGTAGGCTCATGGAAAGCCCTTTTCACCCTCCACTGCCCTTCACCCAGGACAGAATGAATCAGAATCTCTGGAAATTGTCACATTTAACAAGTTCCTGAGATAATTCCTAGTCAGAGTGAGGTTCAAAGAGCACAGGGTTTAAGATTAAGGTGGTGTGGTTACTTGATAGAATATCACAACTTTTCATCTTCAAACTCTGACATTTTATCAAAACTTAGTCTCATTGCCTTAGGACAATTTAATTAATATAGTCATTCTAAAAGTTAAGGACCTTTCAGTGCCTTCGGGTCAGCAGTCTGGGCTCCATTTAATTACAGATCACTGAAGAGCAGAAACATGGCGTAAAACCCAATGGTTTAAAAGCTCTGATCCATGACTTGGGGTTCAGAACTACGCAGCACCATTACTGTTCCATGTGTACCGGTAGTTCTCAGAGACCAGCTGTCCCTTACAGTCCTCATCCTCCCTATTACTACCCACCCCCATATCCTGCTCATCACAGCACGAGCCTTGCACACTCAGTGCCCTGCATATGTAATGATTATGCCAAAGTCCTTTCTCAGTGGGGAACTGCAAGGTTATCCCTAATTGAGTAACAGCGCACTTTCCCTAGACAATGATCATGCTGCTCTTCTTTTTCTACACATTCTGACCACATTTACTGAAATGTAATTTTGAACCTAATAAGAAAAAAATTGGGCTTATATTTGGTATATCTTCCACTTTTCCTGTAATTCATTTGTATTATAGTTTTCAAATACATAGCTATGGGACAGATTTTTAAAAATTCTCCGCCAAAGATAGTCTGCAAAGTGCTGCTCGCTACCACTCTCCTATAAACAAATTCAAACAAAATGTGGTTCTAATTTAGCATCTTTTCACCTGCTAAATAAAGGGGGTTGGTTGTATTACTAGGTCATCTATGAGATGCTCTAGCTCTGTAATTCTCCATGGATACAGTTCTAACTCACTTTTTTATAGGTGGATTGTTTGCTTTGTAAATTATCCAGGACAACGTTTTATATTTATAGCTGACTTTCTGCTGCCTCTCACTGTTGCTCTGTATCATCTCTCCCACTGTGAGACTGTGTGAGCTTGAAGAGTAAAGAGCATTTTAATAATAGCCTAATCAAGATGTAATTAAGAAAAGTAATTTGGCACCAAAATATTACATAACACACATCAAAGATTAAACTCTAGATATTTCTTGCCATGTGCTATTTTGGATTATCACTCTCTCTTCCACTGAGATTTAAATATTTATGTCCATATCAGTATACTGAAGTATGCATTTCTTTATTAACCTCCTTGTGCTTGCCTTAGCATAATACACATGGTATTTTATTATAATCATTTGTGCAATATTGAGATTCCTTGCTAGACTTTTAGCTTCATGAGAATGGAGAGCATTCCTGTCTTAACACTGGATTCTAGTGTTTTACAGTCTCTGTTCTATTAATAGATATCTGTTTGAATGAATGAGTGAATGGAGAATCAATAAAATTCTTGGAGGAAGAATCATGAAGTAGGCTTTCATTTCTTTATAATATCTTACATATTTCTTGTTCCATTATCTTCCTCTTGCTCCATAATGTCTGAGCATAAATTCTATACTTTGAACAGAATAAAAGATTTCATGTGTCTCTGTTCAGGGAGCCATAGTTACAAGATATCTTTTTCTGTTAATCTTTATTGTTGAAAATATTGCATATGTCCTCTTTTTCCACCCAACGACCCCTTCTAGCCCCCACCTTCCACCCCAGGCCTTCACCACCCTCTTATCCGTGTCCATGGGTTATGCATATATGCACAGAAGTTCCTTGGTCAATCTCTTCTCACTCACCTACCCACCCCTGCCTTCCCTCTGAGATTCAACAGTCTGTTCCATGTTTCTGTATCTCTGGATCTATTTTCTTCAACAGTTTATTTTGTTCATTAGATTCTACATATGAGTGAGATCATGTGATACTTGTCACAAGATGTCTTAATTCCTGAAACTCGGCTTTTTCTAAAAATGCCCAATACCCAACATAACTTTTACCTGCAAGTCTGTTTCTGATAGTGGTCAGCCTCTCTCATTTTCTGCCTCAATGAGACAGTAAATAGCGCTTTTACATTTTTACTGACGGTCACATCGTATCTCTGCTGCTTGCTCTGCCCAAGCAGGGTTCTTTTTTGATTTGCATTTAGCCAGCAGGAGCTTGAGAAGCAAAGTACTTTAAGAAATTACTTTCCTTCTCCAGAGAAAGTGCAGACAAGCAAGTTTCAAGAAAGATCCAATTAAAGAAGCCTCTGTCTCAGGAACTAGATCCCGAGTTGGCGCCCAAGGTCTGCATGTTTCACACATATTCTCTAACAAGGTCTCCCTTTCTTGGCTTACAGCGCTTGCTGTAAGTAAGGGATGACATCACAATCCACATCACTCCCAGGGCTTTCAAAACGCGCTGACCCTCTGAACGTTTCCAAGTGGCTTCTGTGTGTGCTGCTAGGGACCATCTGGCTAGCTGTAGATAAACAAGTTTCAACATATGGGCCATAACACATACATGGCTCTGCTCCACTGGTGCAGAAAATTACGAAAGGGTTGCTCTCTTGATATGAGAAACTCGTGCAAAAGCAGCAGCACCGTGGAGGGGAAGGCCTGCCCTCGGTGCACACAGGAGAGCTTAATCCCAGCTCCTCTCTCCCACTCACTGCGCATGTCACCTGATCACTCCAGTCTCAAGTTCCTCACTGGAAATTTTAAAAAGGGTGTCAGGTCAACTCGGATGTTCCTCCTTCCCTGTCCTTTCTTCCCTCCTTTTTTTTCCTTCCTCCCTTCCTATTAAAAATAGTTATTATATGCCTACTATACTGTGTGTTCAAAGGCTGTTAAATCGCATTGTATACCCATATCTTCAGAAAAAAATCACTTCTGTTGTGGTAAACAACCTGCTTCCCTATTTATAATGGTCTGGCCCTCTAGCTACTTCAGCACGAAGTTATAGCTAATTTGCCTACAAACGTCAGGTGGTCATAATAATCTGGCCACTCAGTACATATGTTCCAAGCATGGTGCTAGGTGCCGGGCATATTGGTGAGGAGCTCAGACATGGTCCCTGCCCCTGAAGAATTACGAAACAGTGATGAAGACAAACATTAAATAAATAACTGAGAATAGGAAGGGAAAGCATGTATGAAGGTCCTGAGATGGGAAGGGGCGTGGCCTGTTTAAAATGCAGGACTTGTAAACATTTATACCCATTAAATTGTGAACTCACTTGACAATCGAAATGCTGACGGGAAAGTCTCCACCATCTACAGATGGCAATTCAGACAATTATTATATTAGCATAAACGATTTGAAAAGCTGCCTGAATTTTCTATTCTTATTGTTGATCTCATGCCTGCAAACAATGACGCTAATAAAATTGCATGAAAATACAATCATCAAAACCATATACAAGCATCTCAAGCACATGACACCACGGTAAATGCTTTAAGGATTACGAGAGTTTCAGGAAACCTAGGAACTCTGTGAGTGCTTCCTGTTGAATATTTACAAAATAAAACTAGAGAGTAAGGCGACCGTCATGAAGTTCTCTCTTACAGGTCCTCTACTTCCCAAGCGTGGTTTCCCAATACTCAGTCTTTCCGGAAGATGACAGCTGACGCCCGAGAGTGAGACAGACATTAGTCATAACAGTCATGCTTGCTGAACAGTCATAACATACATGTAACATGTTTATTTCAGTGATTCTTCCCAATGCTTAGTGAAAACGAAAGCAGTGCCTTTGGCAAAACCTAGGCCATGGGTGAAACAGTATAAACTGTTTGACCTTTTTCTCATTCTCTGTTTCTACCTTTCATTTGGCTGCCACCCACAGAAAGCAGAGTGGACAGTGCCGCCCCTGTCACCAGAATGAAGCAGGGAGTTCAATCATCAGGTGTTCAAGTCAGGCGGGATAAAGAGCCCTGCTTGATAACTAATTAAACACATGAAGCAAACACACTTGAAAACCTAAATCAATCCAATTAACCAGAATGCTGTCTCATGGACAGGAAAAACATGTCACTCTCTGCAACCTGCTATGGAACTTACTATGCAACATGTGACAACCTGAGAAATGCCTGCCTCCTATCTGCTTCACGCATCTCTGTGCCCTCCCTGTCCACGGTGCTGAAGGTAGCAAAAGCCCAATAAATGTTCATTAATCAAATCTAGAAATGAACAATCACTTAAAAAAAACACACACACAACTTACCAAATGGATGAATCCTCACAGTGAAATGCAATTAACCACAGAACTGCCTTAATTACCTGAGAGGATTTAGCAAATATAGGAAGCTTGCCCTTCTGCTGTTTGACACAGAGCAACATTTATGACATCAGACCTTCAATTAAAAATCATTACTTAAGTGGCTTTATTACAGCTACAAATAAACTTTATTTGATGTAACGTAATAAAACATTGTCAAATTTAACATTTACCTGACCGGAATTAATCATTTAAATTATGAATATAAGTATATACAGTCACTTGAGCAAATGTGCGGCTCAGGAATTTGTACAGCTTGGTCTGAAAGGACAGGCCCCACCTCCCCTTTCAGGAAAGGCAGGCCCTTCCCTGTGTCTGGCAAGAAGCAATGTCAATGAGAGTTGGAAGAAATCCATAATCCACGCTGGAATTCCACATTATTCTGGGAGGAAACAGCTACATTTATGGTAGGAAAATAATATTCTCTTGCAGTTCTCTTTTTACCAAATGAAGGTCTATATTTATTTCTTCTCCTTCGAGGGACTCTTCTGATCTACTGTCTTCCTATCTCCTTCGCGCCTAATGTTACAGTTCCATTACAAAAACATACTCCCCACAAAGGGACCTTTTCTGTTCTGCTGTCTGCCCATAGTGCTTACCACTGTAGGGGGGGAAACAGAATCGGCCAGGCACACATTCGATTTAAGATACAGAGAACACAAAACAAATCGGAGCCTTTACCAATAGTGAGTGTCCCAGGTGACCCCTGACTCACACAATCCAGTTTTAACACAAGGCAGCTCAACGAGAATTAACATATTGATGCTCCATTTCCAGATGCATCACAACCTTTCACGGAAACCCCATCACTCCCTCACTTCCGCCCAAAAAGCACAGCTATGGGCCAGCCTTGGGCCCATGGCACCAGCGTGTAATGAGAGTCCAAAGTTCAGGTTCCGTGCCAACACCCATGTTAACATCCAGTGCGGACAGGTAACAAGTCCTCATGGAAGGAGTCCCCTCGCCTCTCAGGACCCCTCGGAGGGAGTGTGAGCACAAGAAAAAGCTTTATTCGGGTTTTCTGACGCTCTCCGTCCTGAGATCTGTTCCTGAGTTAGACCGTAACAGTAAGCCAGTTAACAAAGAAAGTGCGCCGTGGGCAAGTCACAGGGGCCCTGCGGAAAAGCCAAACGGTTTGACAGAAGCTTAAAACAGACACTGCTCTGGGAAATCATTTGTATGAGCTGATGACGGGATTCTGTTTTCTAACACGGGACATGCAACATAGTCAACACTATGCTTACTGCAGTGAGCTTGGAAAAACACCCATCTGTCCTACAACAAAATTAACTCTCTCTCTCTCGTGAACGGATTCCTGAATATCCACCGCAATGCCCAGGCTCGGACTTGCATGGACTTGGACATTCGTAAAGCACCAGAAACTGTTTCCTTTCTGGAGCTCAGCTCAGTTCGGGAGGTTGCTGCTGAGCTGGTCTGCCTGTCTTAAACTGAGAACTGCTTTCATTTGCACACAGTAGCACTGATCCACAGGCAACAAACAAGGAGAGGTCACCAGCGCCCTCATGATACGCGTGTACACCAGAACGCCCTGCTCGCCACGTTTGAACCAGCCCAAGGAAACCCGGAAGCAGCGTTTCAAAGTCTCAGCACATGATTTCGTTCTGTTTCCACCTCTGTCTTGCCGTGTTTTGTTCGTCTCCATGATTTTGCTTTTGATCATGAATCATGGCTTTTTTTTCTACAGCAGTCAGACTTTTGTCTGCAAGGGAAGAGAGAGAGAGAGAAGACAAGAAAATGACTTAGCAGAACCATAAATGTTTTCCTTTTGCGGTGGGTGGATTTAATTTTTACAGCATTCAGTAATTGGAAGCATTTGTGGCTTCTAAGGGGTGATGAGCGTCTCTAAAGGGAAAACGTGCTGCAGCTCTTTTAATAAATTTCGTAACTATTCTAAGTTGCCAGGGCCTTAATATAGTTGCAAATCAGCCCCAGATAACCCATTTAGAAATTCACTTTTATAATAAAGCCATAGCCCAAAATGGCTCTACTCGCAAAAATCCTTGCAAAATATGACTGCACTTGCCCATCTTGAAAGAAATGATGACTACTAATGAGAATTACTCACTATAGCAGGGTGCGGTACAGTAAGCCATGCGTGCAGGGACCAGGGAACCCTACCTCGCCTCCCCCATTGCCTTCCCCCCAGATTCACAGAAGTGGCGTGAGTCATGGCCAAGGAAAAGTCTCCTTGGTGTGGTGCCACCTTCCCTCCACACCCGCCTCCGTCTGCACCTTCGCGGGACTCACTTTACCAAGCTATATCCGTGTACTTGAGAGCCAGGTCTAGGAGGTCCCGGGGCCGGGAGTGTGCTCCCAGCCTCTGCCCCCCCATCCCACTGAAAGTCCCCCCTCACTTGGCTACCAGGACTCCAAATGGGTTTTCCCAGGGACAGGATCAGTTTCTCCACAAGACACCGTCCCTCACTTTGCCCCTCACTTCACACAACGGCACCTGAGGAGAAGACTGAGGCCACACTTCAGCTCAGACCCTAGCTCCGGGCTTCTGAGTACCTTGGAGCAGGCAGTGGGCACAGGCCGTGTCCCTGCTGGTCCTCCCAGGTACTCCCAGCCCAGCCGAGGCACTGCCTCCTCTCAGGAGGGGAGACTGCACTTCCTCTGCAGCTCTCAGCAGCTCAGGACTGCCCCTCCAGGCCCCGAGCCACAGGACCACCTCGGAATCTGTCCCTCCCACCCACCTGCTAGTCAACTTCCAAATGTCCACACATCCTTGGCCTCTTTCCTAGTCTCAACACCACCCTCCTGTGGGGGCCCTCCTGACAAAGACCTCCTTCTCCCACTGTGAACCCCTGTTTACACTACAGTCCTGGTCTCACTCCTACCAAAAGCCTTCACCTACCCTCCCATCCTGCCCACCTGGCCCTCCATGCTAACCCCAATCCACCCAGCTTCCAGGCACCACTGAAGACACGCCCCATCCACATCTGTGCACCTCAGTCCATACTCCCCCCTCTGCTTCCAACAGCCCCAACCCACCTCCACCCCTGCCCTTCCTTCTTGCTAAATAAAATCTTACTCTCTATTCAAAACCCACCTGGATGATCACCTCCTTCGTAATTCCCACCATGGGTATTTTCGTCTAAGATACACCCCCCCACCCCCCGCCCCCAAGGCTTATTTTTCTCCTGTACCCACAGCCTGATTTTACTTTGTGCTATGGGTATTTACTAGCTATTAAAAAGTTGTTTTAGAGAAAGCGAGAGGCCAATTGCCTACCTTTCCTACTTTAAAGAGTTTTGCTGAGTTAAAATGTAGGCAACTGCAAGGCGTGACGCAAACAAGCTATTATTACTACTAACTGAGGATTTCATAAAAATAAAGTGCTGAATTCCAGCTAGTTAATGGTGAGGAAAACACTACTATGGGGGGCGGGGGGAATACCCAGGAAATAGCAAACTTTTTGGTTTGTTTTGTCTTTAAAGCAACACCCCACAACAGTTATCCAGGGTGTCAGGGGCCTTGGTGCTTCTTCCCAGTTTCTGCTGGGCCCCACTTCACTTTCCATTTCTAATCACTGGCGGGATCGCCCTGAGCTCCAAAGCTCGAGCAGAGACCCTGGAGCAGCGCCGTGAACTCGCTGCAGAATCCCAGGGTCACTCCACTATGACCAGCCACTGCCACTGACCGGGATGAGAAGAGTCTCTTCGGAAAGAAAGACAATACATCACCAAGCAGAAGAAGGGAGACGGAAAGGAAGAGCTACTTCAAAACAATCTCGTGAAATTCTTTTCTATGGAAGGACTTTAGAAACTGCTTTTCAATATCACTCACAATAACAGTGTCAAAGAACGAAAGCCATCAAAAGGTGATATTTATAGTGATTCGAAAAAATCCATAAAGTCAACAAATTAAGGCGAGAGAAAAAATATCTCCTTATATCACATTTCGTTCTATAGTACCAGTATTTGAATACTTGTGAAAAGGGCACAAAGATGATAGAATAGCAAATTAAAGTTACCAGGGAAGTGTTCATGCCTTTTCCCTCTCTTCCCTCCCTGACCCAAGGAAGACTCGCAAATGCCTGCTGGACTCCTGAGCCTCTTCTTATGCGGACACAGAAAATGTGGAAGAATGGGTACATATTTGGAAGTAACAACACGTAGGTTAGTAGATTGTTTACACAGGAAAAGAAAACTATTATGTAGGAGGAAAGACAAAGCCAAGGAGGAGGAATTAGGGGGAAAAGCAAAAGAGACTTAGAACCCAATCAGCCAGAGAGGGAGGAAAGGCTGCAGACACCAGCAGAAGGAGCCCTGAGTCTCTAGGTTGGCCCAAGAAGTGTGAGCGCTAATGAGCTGGGTAGGGAAACAAGGGGCTCTAACAAGGTTTGCTGTGAGCTATGGGTTGAACACCACTTCATCCTTCCAGAGACTCAAGTAGAGTTAGTCACTAGTTGTTTGGGGTTATCTGCCCAGTGTTTACGTGAATCCAACAGTGCAGAGCATGGATTGGGTGGGGTATTCTGGTCACCAGGCTTTTAATCTACCACCACACCACATCCCACTCACTGAACCATGAGACTCTAGAGGCAAGAACTGTCACATATTCATCTTTCCATTCCCTGCCATGCCTGGCACCGGGCCTTGTACATGGTAGGCCCTCGGATATTTCTAGAGAAAACGAGCCATTGAAAAGACGCTTTACCGCCAGCCTCTACCTTCCGATTCATCTCATACGGTATCACTGAGTCAGTCTTCACTGCTTTGATGATTCCGGTCTCCTGTCTGCAGAGATCCCGTCAATGGATGAGTACTGTCCACACTAGGATTTCTCAACTTCAGCACTGCAGACATTTGGGGCTGAGAAAGGCTTTGTAGGGGGCCTGCCTGCGTATTACAGGATGGTTAGCAGCATCCTTGGCATCTTCCCACCAGATAGATATCAGTAGGTATTCCCCTTATCTAGGTATAACAACCAAAAATGTCTCCAGAAATTTTCAAATGTCCCCTGGGAGCAAAATTACCCCTGGTTGAGAACCACTTGTCTACAATAAAATCCAAAGTTCTTGGGCCTGGAATGGAAGACACTTCAGAATTTAATTTTATTAAATTTAATTTTATTCTAGCTTTCCACTGTGATCTCCAAATCTTTCCCCACACTAACACTTACCTCCAGCCAGACCGTCCTTTGCATAAGGTCCCGCACCGGTGCCTCTACACGAAACGTCCCCTTCACCTGGGAAGCCATTTCTACTCTCCTTGAGTTATAAATGCTTTGACCACCTTCGCAGACATACTCCAGCCCATAGCCTTCAGCAAGTCTTCCCTGAAAAGGGTTGGGTCAACTCTGAGTTATTATCCCCTCCTTTGAATCCTGTAGCTTTTCCTGTCTCCATCTTTCCTTTGTTCTTATTACAGAAACGTGTGCATGTGTTTATGTACAGTCTGTCCAATAGAAACATATGTACTAAGACAGGAAAGACAGCATGGATTTCCCATGTCCTCCTCAGTGCACGGCACAATTATAAACAAGAATTTAAAAAAGAGCATGCTACCATTCCTAGACGACTTGCTCCTGGGTCGGGGTTTCGTACGTAGCAGAGCAGGTCCCTCGCTGCGATCAATTGAAAGTCAGCGACACAAGGGTTTGTAATAAATAAATAAATAAACAAACAAATAAATAAAATAAAATGAAAAAGAGCATGCTCACATTGGGACAGATTAAAAAGCTGCCTGCTATGGAATTTTTAATATACTTCTTTAAAAAATGCTTTTCTTTATTTTAGATAAAGAAGAAGGAAGCGGAAGAGAGACACAGAAACATCGATAAGAGAGAAATCGACATTGTTTTGTCATCTGCAGAACAGAGATGAAGAAAACCAATCTCTTATACCGTTTTAAGGATTAAGTGATATAATTCACAGAGTCTCAGCATCGTGCCTGAGAGTGAGTCTTCCATAAATGTGGGAAACTGTTATTTTAAGCTGGAAAACCTATTGTGTGACATTTGAAAAATTAGCATTTTGTGGGCTGAGTTATGTGGGAATCATTAGCTAAAAATCATTGCTATTCCCAGGTTCTTTGGCTGTGTGGGAGGCACACAAACACAACGGTGTTTTCTAGTTTAGGACTGCCTTTGCTTTCTCCTCGTTTCTACACTGGCTCCTTAACTGGACCTTCTGCCACCAGCCCTTCGCTGCAGAGACTTTCCTCAAACACAGGTCCCTGCATGTTACTCCTGAGAACTGAAAGCAACAGGTTCTCCTGTTCCTGCACTAAACAGTCCTGGGGGGTGGGGGGGTGGGGGGAGCGGGCAAAATATCCAGCTACTTGTCCCAGAAAGGAGCGGCTTCCAGAAGATAAGGCTTCTGAGTAATCTATACAGCTTACTTAGCAAGACTAATAGTTTGCTCATTAATACTGGCTTCAAGGCCCTCACTTAGCTACACCCACCAATCCAAAGCTATTATGTCATAAACTCTGCCCAGTCCTCACCAGTTTCCCACCTTAACATCACCTAGCCCAGTGGGCGGCAAACTTATCAGTCAACACAGCCAAATATCAACAGTACAACGATTGAAATTTCTTTTGAGAGCCAAATTTTTTAAACTATATAGGTAGGTATATTGTTGTTAACTTAATTAGGGTACTCCTAAGGCTTAGGAAGAGCCACACTCAAGGGGCCAAAGAGCCACATGTGGCTCGCGAGCCGCAGTTTGCCGACCACGGAGTCCTAGCCCAA